GATTAACACTGAACCCTGTGGGAGCCTTAGTCTGACTCTGTGAGCCTCAGTGATTAACACTGAACCCTATGGGAGTCTTAGTCTGGCTCTGTGAGTCTCAGTGATTAACACTGAACCCTGTGGGAGCCTTAGTCTGTCTCTGTGAGCCTCAGTGATTTACACTGAACCCTGTGGGAGCCTTAGTCTGTCTCTGTGAGCCTCAGTGATTAACACTGAACCCAGTGGGAGCCTTAGTCTGGCTCTGTGAGTCTCAGTGATTAACACTGAACCCTGTGGGAGCCTTAGTCTGACTCTGTGAGCCTCAGTGATTAACACTGAACCCTATGGGAGTCTTAGTCTGGCTCTGTGAGTCTCAGTGATTAACACTGAACCCTGTGGGAGCCTTAGTCTGTCTCTGTGAGCCTCAGTGATTAACACTGAACCCAGTGGGAGCCTTAGTCTGGCTCTGTGAGTCTCAGTGATTAACACTGAACCCTGTGGGAGCCTTAGTCTGACTCTGTGAGCCTCAGTGATTAACACTGAACCCTATGGGAGTCTTAGTCTGGCTCTGTGAGTCTCAGTGATTAACACTGAACCCTGTGGGAGCCTTAGTCTGTCTCTGTGAGCCTCAGTGATTAACACTGAACCCTGTGGGCTGTATCGGCCCCACCGTGCACCTAGCCTGGCACGGGACCCCCCTGCTGTTTTTCTTGTTGCAGAGACAGGGGCTTTGGAAGGTCTTCCGTGACATTGAGATGAGATTAACTCCAGTGTTGGCAGGTAACCATTGACTCACTATCACACAGAGAGCCACAGACTCACCACCACCACCACACAGAGACCCATAGACTCACCATCACACAGAGACCCATAGACTCACCACCACCACCACACAGAGACCCATAGACTTACCATCACACAGAGACCCATAGACTCACCACCACCACCACACAGAGACCCATAGACTTACCATCACACAGAGAGACATAGACTCACCACCACCACCACACAGAGAGACCCATAGACTCACCATCACACAGAGAGACATAGACTCACCACCACCACACAGAGACCCATAGATTCACCATCACACAGAGACCCATAGACTCTCCATCACCACACAGAGACCCATAGACTCATCATCACACAGAGTCATAGACTCATCATCACACAGAGCCATAGACTCATCATCACACAGAGTCATAGACTCATCATCACACAGAGCCATAGACTCACCATCACACAGAGAGACATAGACTCACCACTACCACCACACAGAGACCCATAGATTCACCATCACACAGAGACCCATAGACTCTCCATCACCACACAGAGACCCATAGACTCATCATCACACAGAGTCATAGACTCATCATCACACAGAGCCATAGACTCATCACCACACAGAGACCCATAGACTCATCATCACACAGAGACCCATAGACTCATCACCACACAGAGACCCATAGACTCATCACCACACAGAGACCCATAGACTCACCACCACACAGAGACCCATAGACTCACCACCACACAGAGACCCATAGACTCATCACCACCACCACACAGAGACCCATAGACTCACCACCACCACACAGAGACCCATAGACTCACCATCACACAGAGACCCATAGACTCACCACCACACAGAGACCCATAAACTCATCATCACACAGAGGCCCATAGACTCACCACCACACAGAGACCCATAGACTCATCATCACACAGAGACCCATAGACTCACCATCACACAGAGAGCCATAGACTCACCATCACACAGAGACCCATAGACTCACCACCACACAGAGATCCATAGACTCACCATCACACAGAGACCCATAGACTCATCATCACACAGAGATCCATAGACTCACCATCACACAGAGACCCATAGACTCACCACCACACAGAGACCCATAGACTCATCATCACACAGAGACCCATAGACTCACCATCACACAGAGACCCATAGACTCACCACCACACAGAGACCCATAGACTCACCATCACACAGAGACCCATAGACTCACCACCACACAGAGACCCATAGACTCATCATCACACAGAAACCCATAGATTCACCATCACACAGAGACCCATAGACTCACCACCACACAGAGACCCACAGACTCACCACCACCACACAGAGACCCATAGACTCACCACCACACAGAGACCCATAGACTCACCACCACACAGAGACCCATAGACTCTCACACAGAGCCATAGACTCACCACCACCACACAGAGACCCATAGACTCACCACCACACAGAGACCCACAGACTCACCACCACACAGAGACCCACAGACTCACCACCACACAGAGACCCATAGACTCACCACCATCACACAGAGACCCATAGACTCACCATCACACAGACACCCATAGACTCATCACCACACAGAGACCCATAGACTCATCACCACACAGAGACTCATAGACTCATCACACAGAGACCCATAGACTCTCACACAGAGCCATAGACTCACCACCACCACACAGAGACCCATAGACTCACCACCACACAGAGACCCACAGACTCACCACCACCACACAGAGACCCACAGACTCACCACCACCACACAGAGACCCACAGACTCACCACCACCACACAGAGACCCACAGACTCACCACCACACAGCACTTGCCCCTACAGCCTGCTAGAGGCTACACGGGGGACCTTTGTCTGTGTCTCTGTGTGTGCGTGAGGCAGCAATGGAGCTTCACGAGTTCCGAATGGATGTTCCCCTGCTGCAGAAGAACAGCCACCAGCTGGCGGTGAGGCGCTGCTGATGATGATGATGCTGATGATGATGATGCTGCTGCTGCTGATGATGATGATGCTGATGATGATGAAGATGACACTGCTGATGCTGATGATGATGACACTGCTGCTGATGATGGCACTGCTGATGATGATGATGACACTGCTGCTGATGATGGCACTGCTGCTGATGATGGCACTGCTGCTGATGATGATGATGACACTGCTGATGCTGATGATGATGACACTGCTGCTGATGATGATGATGACACTGCTGATGATGATGGCACTGCTGCTGATGATGGCACTGCTGATGATGCTGATGATGATGACACTGCTGGTACTGCTGATGATGATGACGCTGCTGCTGATGATGATGATGACACTGCTGGTACTGCTGATGATGATAATGACACTGCTGCTGATGATGATGACACTGCTGATGATGATGATGACACTGCTAATGATGATGATGACACTGCTGATGATGATGACACTGCTGATGATGATGATGACACTGCTGCTGATGATGATGACACTGCTAATGATGATGATGACACTGCTGGTACTGCTGATGATGACTATGACACTGCTGCTGATGATGATGACACTGCTAATGATGATGATGACACTGCTGATGATGATGATGACACTGCTGCTGATGATGATGACACTGCTGGTACTGCTGCTGCTGATGATGATGACACAGCTGCTGCTGATGATGATGATGATTACACTGCTGGTACTGCTGCTGATGATGATGACGCTGCTGGTACTGCTGCTGCTGATGCCACTACTGGTACTGCTGCTGATGATGATGACACTGCTGATGATGACGCTGCTGGTACTGCTGATGATGATGATGACACTGATGATGACGATGACACTGCTGCTGCTGATGATGATGACACTGCTGATGATGGTGATGACACTGCTGATGACGATGACACTGCTGGTACTGATGATGATGATGACACTGCTGCTGATGATGACGACACTGCTGATGATGATGATGACACTGCTGGTACTGCTGCTGATGATGACTATGACACTGCTGCTGATGATGTCTATGACACTGCTGATGATGATGACACTGCTGATGATGATGATGACGCTGCTGATGATGATGATGACGCTGCTGATGATGATGACACTGATGATGATGATGACACTGATGATGACACTGCTGGTACTGCTGCTGATGATGATGATGACACTGCTGATGATGATGATGACACTGATGATGATGATGACGATGACCCTGCTGGTACTGCTGCTGATGATGACTATGACACTGCTGATGATGATGATGACGCTGCTGATGATGATGATGACGCTGCTGATGATGATGATGACGCTGCTGCTGATGATGATGACGCTGCTGATGATGATGATGACCCTGATGATGATGATGACACTGATGATGATGATGACACTGATGATGACACTGCTGGTACTGCTGCTGATGATGATGATGACACTGCTGATGATGATGATGATGACGACACTGCTGATGATGATGATGACACTGATGATGATGATGACGATGACCCTGCTGGTACTGCTGCTGATGATGACTATGACACCGCTGATGATGATGACTATGACACTGCTGATGATGATGATGACACTGCTAATGATGATGATGATGACACTGCTGCTGATGATGATGACGCTGCTGCTGATGATGATGACCCTGATGATGATGATGACACTGATGATGACACTGATGATGACACTGCTGGTACTGCTGCTGATGATGATGCTGACACTGCTGCTGCTGATGATGATGACACTGCTGATGATGATGCTGACACTGCTGATGCTGCTGCTGATGATGACACTGCTGATGATGATGCTGACACTGCTGATGATGACGATGACACTGCTGATGCTGATGCTGACACTGCTGATGATGATGACACTGATGATGATGATGACACTGATGATGATGATGGTGACACTGCTGCTGCTGATGATGATGATGATACTGCTGATGATGATGACACTGATGATGATGACACTGCTGCTGATGATGATGACACTGCTGGTACTGCTGCTGATGATAACACTGCTGATTCTGCTGCTGCTGATGCTACTGCTGATGCTGCTGCTGATGCTACTGCTGATGCTACTGCTGCTGCTGATGCTACTGCTGATGCTGCTGCAGCTGAAGCTGAAGCAACTGGAGGAGCGAGCTCACCTGGAGGCTGGGGAGAGGTTCCTGCTGAGCAGCAGCCTGCAGCTCAGAGAGGTGCACCTAGCCTGGCACGGGAGCACACCCTGTCACTCACACACACACACTGTCACTCACACACACACACTGTCACACACACACACTGTCACACACACACACTCTGTCACTCACACACACTGTCACACTCACTGTCACACTCACACACACACACTGTCACACACACACACTGTTACACACACACTGTCACACACACACACTGTCACACACACACACACACTGTCACACACACTCACTGTCACACACACGCTGTCACTCACACACACACACTGTCACACACACACTGTCACACACACACTGTCACACACACACTGTCACACTCACACACACACACACACTGTCACACACACTGTCACACTCACACACACACACTGTCACACACACTCACTGTCACACACACGCTGTCACTCACACACACACACTGTCACACACACACACTGTCACACACACACACTGTCACACTCACACACACTGTCACACACACACACTGTCACACTCACACACGCTGTCACACACACACACACTGTCACACACACACTGTCACACACACACTGTCACACTCACACACACATACACTGTCACACACACTGTCACACTCACACACACACACACTGTCACACACACACACTGTTACACACACACTGTCACACACACAGTCACACACACATAGTGTTACACACACACACACTGTCAAACACACACACTGTCACACACACATAGTGTCACACACACACACTGTCACACACACACTGTCACACACACACACTGTCACACACACACACTGTCACACTCACACACAAACACTGTCACACACACACACTCTGTCACTCACACACACTGTCACACACACTGTCACACTCACACACAGTCACACACACATAGTGTCACACACACACACTGTCACACACACACTGTCACACACACACTGTCACACACACTGTCACACTCACACACGCTGTCACACACACACAACAACAACAACAACCGCCATTCACCACTAAGTGGCGGTGACGTCACCACGACGCTTGTGCCAGGCTATGTGCACCCTGAGGCCACGTGAAGTGTCGAACGCCCGCTGGCAGGAGGTCACGGGGCAGACCCAGCAGGTGCCACGGGTCGACTGACTGAGATGACTGGCTGATGCACCACCTGTGCCCCCTACTGTGCCATCCTGCTGTGCTTTAGCCACCCGGCGCTCCGCTCGCTGTTGTGAGCGTCGCTCCTCCGCCCTCCGTTGTTGTTGGAGGGCGACTGCCTCCAACTGCCCAGTAGCATCCTTCACGAGCCTCCTCCACAGAGGCCGATCTTGACTCCGCTGGTACCAGTCATCGGCAAGTCCACTCAGCTCCACGTCCTCCTGTACCACATCACTCCATCTCTTCTCTAGCCCGTGCCGCGCCCGCTTAGCCCCCTCGATCCGGCCAAACAAAAGCTGTTTCGGCATGCGGTGGCTGGGCATGCGGGCTACATGACCCAGCCATCGCAGCCTTGCCTGCCGGAGGAGCTCACCGATGGGACCCTGCCCAGATCTTTCAAGGATTTGTGAGCTCCTCACACAATCCAGTCTGGTTAAACCCAGGATGGATCGTAGGCAGGTCAGCCTAAATGTTTCTAACCGGCGAAGATGTTCCATTAGGGGGGTCCACGTTTCGCAAGCGTAGAGAAGGGAGGGAATGACCGTGGCCGAGAAGACCTGAAGCTTAGTGCGGAGCGACAGACCAGGTAGCTTCCACACAGCGTTACGCAACCGATGAAAAGATATTGCCGCTCGACTGATTCGGAGTGAGACCTCTGCTGTTAAACTGGAGCCAGTCATAAGCACACTGCCCAGGTATGGGAAACTCTCCACTCTCTCCACAACTGCCCCATCACCGATTGGGAGTTGTGGGGGTGGAGTGTCCGATGGTACAAAATACCCAGGCAGGTGCTTAGTTTTGGTGGGGCTGATGGTAAGGCCCCACCTCTTAGTGGCACGCTCCAGTCTCAGCAGCAGCGTCTGCAACTCCTCCTCTGACTGAGCAGCTATTACCAAGTCATCAGCATACATAACGTGGTTGAGCAATAGGGAGCCATCCCTTGACCGCACCCGGGCATCGATTAGCCTCCCATTATATCTGTACCATATGGAGATTCCCCCGGTACAGCTATTGAAGGCTTCACGAACTACGTGGTCAAAATAGATGTTAAATAATGTGGGAGCCAGAGGACATCCCTGTCGCACCCCAAGGTGTACAGGGAATGGCTCTGACTCCCGGCCACGTAGTTTTACCCGGGCCCGCTCACCATCATGAAGGTCCTTAATGATCGTGAGCAGACACACACACACACTGTCACACACACACTGTCACACTCACACACACTGTTACACACACACACTGTCACACTCACACACGCTGTCACACACACACACTGTCACACTCACACACACTGTTACACACACACAGTCACACACACACACACACTGTCACACACACACACACTGTCACACACACACATAGTGTCACACACACACATTGTTACACACACACATTGTCACACACACTGTCACACACACTCACTGTCACACACACACACGCTGTCACTCACACACACACGCTGTCACACACACACACACTGTCACACACACACTGTCACACTCACACACACACACACTGTCACACACACTGTCACACTCACAAACACACACACTGTCACACACACACACTGTTACACACACACTGTCACACACACAGTCACACACACATAGTGTTACACACACACACACTGTCACACACACACACTGTCACACACACATAGTGTCACACACACACACTGTCACACACACACTGTCACACACACACACTGTCACACACACACACTGTCACACTCACACACAAACACTGTCACACACACACACTCTGTCACTCACACACACTGTCACACACACTGTCACACTCACACACAGTCACACACACATAGTGTCACACACACACACTGTCACACACACACTGTCACACACACACTGTCACACACACTGTCACACTCACACACGCTGTCACACACACACAACAACAACAACAACCGCCATTCACCACTAAGTGGCGGTGACGTCACCACGACGCTTGTGCCAGGCTATGTGCACCCTGAGGCCACGTGAAGTGTCGAACGCCCGCTGGCAGGAGGTCACGGGGCAGACCCAGGTGCCACGGGTCGACTGACTGAGATGACTGGCTGATGCACCACCTGTGCCCCCTACTGTGCCATCCTGCTGTGCTTTAGCCACCCGGCGCTCCGCTCGCTGTTGTGAGCGTCGCTCCTCCGCCCTCCGTTGTTGTTGGAGGGCGACTGCCTCCAACTGCCCAGTAGCATCCTTCACGAGCCTCCTCCACAGAGGCCGATCTTGACTCCGCTGGTACCAGTCATCGGCAAGTCCACTCAGCTCCACGTCCTCCTGTACCACATCACTCCATCTCTTCTCTAGCCCGTGCCGCGCCCGCTTAGCCCCCTCGATCCGGCCAAACAAAAGCTGTTTCGGCATGCGGTGGCTGGGCATGCGGGCTACATGACCCAGCCATCGCAGCCTTGCCTGCCGGAGGAGCTCACCGATGGGACCCTGCCCAGATCTTTCAAGGATTTGTGAGCTCCTCACACAATCCAGTCTGGTTAAACCCAGGATGGATCGTAGGCAGGTCAGCCTAAATGTTTCTAACCGGCGAAGATGTTCCATTAGGGGGGTCCACGTTTCGCAAGCGTAGAGAAGGGAGGGAATGACCGTGGCCGAGAAGACCTGAAGCTTAGTGCGGAGCGACAGACCAGGTAGCTTCCACACAGCGTTACGCAACCGATGAAAAGATATTGCCGCTCGACTGATTCGGAGTGAGACCTCTGCTGTTAAACTGGAGCCAGTCATAAGCACACTGCCCAGGTATGGGAAACTCTCCACTCTCTCCACAACTGCCCCATCACCGATTGGGAGTTGTGGGGGTGGAGTGTCCGATGGTACAAAATACCCAGGCAGGTGCTTAGTTTTGGTGGGGCTGATGGTAAGGCCCCACCTCTTAGTGGCACGCTCCAGTCTCAGCAGCAGCGTCTGCAACTCCTCCTCTGACTGAGCAGCTATTACCAAGTCATCAGCATACATAACGTGGTTGAGCAATAGGGAGCCATCCCTTGACCGCACCCGGGCATCGATTAGCCTCCCATTATATCTGTACCATATGGAGATTCCCCCGGTACAGCTATTGAAGGCTTCACGAACTACGTGGTCAAAATAGATGTTAAATAATGTGGGAGCCAGAGGACATCCCTGTCGCACCCCAAGGTGTACAGGGAATGGCTCTGACTCCCGGCCACGTAGTTTTACCCGGGCCCGCTCACCATCATGAAGGTCCTTAATGATCGTGAGCAGACACACACACACACTGTCACACACACACTGTCACACTCACACACACTGTTACACACACACACTGTCACACTCACACACGCTGTCACACACACACACTGTCACACTCACACACACTGTTACACACACACAGTCACACACACACACACACTGTCACACACACACACACTGTCACACACACACATAGTGTCACACACACACATTGTTACACACACACATTGTCACACACACTGTCACACACACTCACTGTCACACACACACACGCTGTCACTCACACACACACGCTGTCACACACACACACACTGTCACACACACACTGTCACACACACACTGTCACACTCACACACACACACACTGTCACACACACTGTCACACTCACAAACACACACACTGTCACACACACACACACTGTTACACACACACTGTCACACACACAGTCACACACACATAGTGTTACACACACACACACTGTCACACACACACACTGTCACACACACATAGTGTCACACACACACACTGTCACACACACACTGTCACACACACACACACTGTCACACACACTGTCACACTCACACACAAACACTGTCACACACACACACTCTGTCACTCACACACA